CGAGGGTCTCAATGACCCCTTCCATATTGCCAGTTTCTGCCAGCTCTGCAGCTAGGCCCCCCATTTCCCCGTGCTATCCCACTACGCAGCAGCTGGTCCAGATCTGCTGTGCAGATCCGGTGTTAGGGATGGAACCTGGCTCTGTGGCTATTGAGCCTTCAGTCAAAATCACAATTCTTCCCCAGAACTACCCAGCCTTCTCTCAGGTGATTACTATGTAAATGTACTTAGGGAGTTAATGGGTAACTAAGACTTGTGTGGATAACATCGAGTTCCAAAGTCCTGAGAACTGGCAAGATTCAAAGCCCTAAATTTTCTTAAGAAGATGTGGTCACAGGGTCCTAACCCCTGATATTTTGAGCTGAAATGCACTTTTAATGACCAATCCTAAGTGGGCTAATTTTCTTTTAGAAAGATCATCTCTGATCTAAATTATTTTCAGTTACTAGTCTCTGCTCTGGTCGCCTACAGCCTTCACTCTCTGGATCAGTATTCACCAGCCAGGCAGGACCTGGCTGGAGTTCTGGCACAGCGTGTGGATTTAAAGATACTAGGGCCAGTGTGGTAAGAAGTGAGCCTCAGAGGAAGGCCACGGAAGGCCACGTATCCTAGCAAGGAGAAGTCACAGAAAAGGTGACTAGTGGTCTGAAATCTCAAAGGTGTGAGTCACCAGGAAACAACGGGTGGACAGGACAGGACAGGACAATCCTTGGGCAAAGATTCAGAGACCACAGCTCCTTACACAGGTGAATGGGCACCAGCTGAATGTGGAGGAAACTGCTTCCTGCTTCCTGCTTCCTGCTTCCAGGGGGAAGCAGAGGCAGGCCACCGTGTTCCTTTAGTTCTACTAGGGAGGAGTCAGAATGTGCCTCCCTGGAGATCAGGACCTGTCAGTCTACCAGTAATGCCCTCAATACAGAACCTTCCTCCTCCTGGGAGGGCTGGAGAGGGAACCTCACCTCTTCATTTCTGGATGGATCAGAGGTCACATTCCAGGGCCCTATGCACACATACTGTCAAAAACAAAACAACAACAACCGTTGACTGGATGGGATATAGCTTAGATGGCAGAGTCTTGGCTAGCAAGAACAAAGCCCTGGGTTTCATCCCCAGCACAACGTCTATAATCCCAGTACTTCAGAGACACACAAGGGAACATCTGGAGTTCACGTTTCTCCTTCGGTACATAGCCAGTTCTATGCCAGCCAGGGATACCAGAGACCCTGTCTCAAAAACAAACAAACAAACAAAGAAAGCCATAGTATCTTGTGTCATGGTCTCTTATGCATGATGACTGTGGACTAGAGCCAAGAACTGGAGGTCCTTTTCTAACAAGGCTTGGGCTCACTCTCCTGACTCAGTCCAGCCTCTACCCAGCTGTCTTCACTCATTTACTGCCTGACGGCCATCAGAGTTTAAATGCCCTCTCTCCGAGTGCTGGTAAATAAAGCAGCACTTATTCAACCCACCCAGCTGTTACTGCCTCTTATCTGATGTAGTCCAGACAGCCTGTCCGGCTTACTGGACAAGGGTTGAACTAAGGCCCGCCCTTGTTTGTGGGAATGAGGGTGGCAAGTGGCAGGGCCAGGTTTCTGCTGGGAACAAAATAACTTGAAGTTTCTGGGGAAGCAGGCTATCAAAGCAGGGGAAAGGTCACGTATCCAGGACGCAGTCCTGCTAGCGATCATCATCCCAGGGCATGGCAGCCTCTTAGACCGAACCAAGTGGTTTCTCTGCCGACTCTCCAGAGAAACAGGAGGAAACAGAGCCAGAGACCTCAGGCTCGCCCTTCTCAATTTCCCCATTTATTTCACTTCTGGGAAGGGAGTGCGTGTGGGTGTGAGCTCACAGACAGGGGAAGCTGCTATTGGAGAACCTCTTCCCCACCCACTCTGTGTGTGAATTAGCACGTAGCGGGTTTGATATTAATCCACAATCAGGCCAATGGAGCCAACACAGTCAGGGGCCTGGTAAATAGCAGGAACACCATGTGTTTTCCACAAGGATGGCAGAGGTCATTCAGTCGGTGTGCCTACTTTCCTGTGACGCTCTGCCAGGGTGCTAGAAGTAGGTGAATTTCTTTTAAAACAGAGGATTGAGGGAGAGGCCACACAATTGTATTAATTGCAACCATTCCTGAAGATAAGAACAGATTCTATTACTTTCTTATTTGACACTGACTTCAAGACCCATTCAGGGCCCTTGAAAAGATGAGGTTAACGTCCATTAATAATGGCAATTCTTAATCGCTGAGTATTGGAACTAGTCTAAGTGTCTGTCATCTTTGTGACTTGGCCACTTGCCCGTCAGTGGGAAGGGAGTGGACCGGAAATAGACCTCCCCAGGGTGCCTGGCCCTCCCTCCTTCATTCCCAACTTCCTTGCACATCCACCTCATCGTCTTTGGGATTGGAAACCTCAGCAAGTAGGAGTCTGGCACAAGCTAGAGATTAACGCCTGACTCAACTCCCACCCAAGTGACCTTTCAGTTCAGCTAACTGAAAAGAATCATTGGAATTGTCGTCACTTGGCTCCAGTGTCTGCCAAGTTGGTGAGGATGGCTTAGATTGAGGAACAGGACAGGGCCACTTAGGGGACATTTAATCTGTCACCCACATATACATCTCTTCTCTCCTCTCATCCTCTCTCTTCCCCTCCCTCCCTTCCTCTCCTCCCTGCTCTCAATCTCCTTTTCTTCCTCGAGACAGCCTCTTACTCCGTAGCCTAGGCTCACCTCATGGTCATCCTTCTGCCTCAGCATGAGCATAATTCACCATGCTCAGCTCATCCTGCTGGTTTCTAAGACAGGAAAAACTGGACCATTTTTTCCAAACTTACCAGCTACTTGCAGAAAAGAGCCTTATATTTCCCCTCTCAACCACAAACTCTACTGCAAAACTCGCACGGGGCCAGGAACGCTGGTGCTGACCTGAGGACCACGAAGTCCTCAGCATCCCTTCTTACCAAAGGCTGCTTCAGGAGCCAGACCCACAGAAGTGGTTTCTTCCTCCTGGGGCCTGTTTTTGGCAGCATCAAGGCCTCCTCCACCCAAACCTTATCGGAAGCCAGGATGGGCCCTTAATCTACAGCTGCCAGCACCTTGCTCAGACCCTCTGGGGAGGGACATTATCATCCCCAAACAGCTGACCACACACAGGGCTCTAGGCTGCCATGCTTTGCTGAGCTGCAGGACAGCCTAAAGTTTAGTTTCAGAGCCCAGGAAAGCAACTACCTGTTACTCCATTAAGAGCCCAATATACCCAGCAGCCAGTAGGTGTTCTCTTTCCTATTTATACTGGTCAGGTCTGAAAGAAATAACATCTTCTTGGATCACAGAACCCTCTTGTATAAATGGAGTGGTCATTATTAGCCTACCAAGAACCAGGAGCAACCCCAAGAAGAACCCGTCACCCTGTGGTTTCCCTGAAACAGATGGGTTGACCTGCTCCCCGAGGCCTCCAGACAACCTTCCCTGAATGTCATGCAGCCTCCCACTAAGCGATGAAATGTCCCTTCGGAGTGGGGCCTTTTGGGAAACAAGAAGATAGATGCATACTTTGTACTGGATACCCAAAAGAATTTGACACCAAGGACGAGCAAATATTCCTATATCCCAAGCCTGTCCTTGCATCCAAGCAGAGAGAAACAAATGAAAGGCCTTTCCCTGCAGCATCCCTGACATTAGTGGGTCCCAGTAGTCTATTCATGACACAGATGCACTGACTTCCCCGGCCCAAGCTGACCCCCCTTCTTTCTTTACACGTGCAGACATGCGCACCCAGCTGCCCTGCCCTGCCTGACAAAGAACACCCAGGACAAACTGCATGTTTGTGCACAAAGTCGAGCAGTAGGAAATGAAAGGAGAATGCCTAAGAATTTACTAACAGCCCGATTTGGGCCAAGGAAAACATCCAATGTGGGTCAAAAAATGTGCCTGGGGCTGTAGTGGGAAGCCAGGTCTGTATCAAAGTTCTAGAAAAGAACCCCAAAATTAAGCACGGCAAGTTATTATTCTTGCATAGACCCTCTCCAGGAAGTCAAAGGTAATTATAAATGATAACAAGCCATGGGGTCTCATGTCATGTGTTCTCAGAAATAGCCAGAAATTGCCGCTTTCCGGCTACCTGCACTGAGCCATGTATGGCCCCAGTACTCGGATCCTGGGGCTCGTCTGCTCTGTCTAACAAGGCAGGGAGAACAGCTGTTAATAGATGGCAGCCAAGGTGACACGAGCCTTTGTTCAGAATGTCAGTCTTGGCTCCACCCGTGAAAACGCAGGGTGTGTTTTAATTATTTTTAATATCCAAGACCGTTGTAGACACTCAAGTCTCCTGTATAAAACAACTAGGCAGTTTCTAGTTGAGTGTCCTCTCACGTACTCTAAATTGTAAGATTGTTTGCAATGCCCGATACATTGGAAACAGTTAAACCATACTGTTTCTGGAACGAAAAGTCTGTCCACGTAAAGATGGAGCCACTATGGGCCTAAGGCCACAGCCTATGAACTGGAGGGACTCCAACGAGGACCTCACAGACTATGTGTGGGGTACCAGGAGGAGCATCCAAATGGACTTGTGCGTGATTGCAGCCACATCAGACTGGTGTGCTCAGCGGTGTGACAAATCAAAATTTGGGGTTGTTTGGAACGTTCTGGAATTTTTTTTCTGTGTAATTTCCAGCCATGGTTAGTTACTTCCACGGATGTGGACCCAGAAGGGCAGCTTTTCAAATGTGCTGAATAACTAAGAATGAAACTATGGAATAGGCTGCAGAGTTTCCAGACAGCATATTTTTGGAGACCTGTGAGAATATTGATAGCAGGACTGAGTAGGGAGCTACCTCCTGGGGGAGGATGCATGGAAATGATGTCATCATCACCTAAGCTATCTCTTGACTGACCCAGGACAGCTGATGGGATTGCACAAAACGCAAAGACAGGGTTTGGATCAGAGATGGAAATGCTTGTCAGCAGTATGGATCTTACCTTCTCTAGACAACACATGATCTGCTACATTTTTATTAAAAACAAAAGTGTACATATGTTCATAAGCTTTACAGTCTTCCATATAAAAACACTATTATACAATTAGTAACCTTTGTCTTTTCTGTCAGAATAGCTTACAAACGTATCACTATTACTTATTTTTTACTTAATAATAGAGACAGGCCTGCTCAACAGTCCTGCTCTGGGGGGGTTTGTCATTTTTAAAGTGAACATCAACAAGAGAGCAGGAACAGATCTCAGCATGAGACCAGGAGGCTGCTTCTAAAGAGGCAGGGACCTGTTTGCGGACAACACAGGAGAACCATCTGTAGTAATTCACAGCTTTGTTTCAACCCACAGCTCTTGGGTCTGTGAGCCCAGAGATAACTTTAAAACGAGAGAGGTGAAGCCGCCTGGGAAGGCTGAGCGAAGCTGGGAGCGCCCAAGCAAGCTGCGCACTGTTTGGAAAATAGCACCTTTGAGTGGAAACTGAGGAGTCAGGAAATCCAGGAAACGGGATGCCATGGCCATGGAGAGAAACAGGGAGAGGATTCCTCATTAAGGAGAGAGTGATAGGCTGACTCTAGGTTTATCCATCCTTCAGGTTGAGAGACTCGGGTCTTCTGATGACCCTCAGCAGTGTCACTGAACCTGAAGGAGAGCCATTTCCTCCCAGTGTTATCCAATTTCCTCCAGCCCATAACAGTATATATTGCACACATCTACAGACAAATTTGGATTTTAGTGAGAGAGAAGACCTCCCCCACAGCTGCTCTGAGTACCAAGGAGATAAAGCTGTGCCCAAAGTGTGGCTCTTAGTGGCAGCCCGACACAATACCACCCAGTCCTGCGGTGTGCAGGCAGGCACGCTCTCTGCAGCCCAGGAAGACCTCTGCAAGGCCCACCAGCCAGCCAGAACCCACCAGGGCGCCAGGAGGGGCTGGGAGGCCCAGTCTTAAAGAGTTTCCTGGGACTATTGCACAGTGGCGACTGAGAACTCCTGCCCTAGGAAACAGGGCCTCCAGGCCCCAGCCACATGAAAGTGGGGAGAGGGAGATGGGGGTCTTGAAGAGAAGGCAGTAAGAAAGGACCTGGGGTCCCCTGGAGCTCTGAGCCACCTCTCAAAGGAATGGTAGCAGCATTTGAACTTTCACGTGGTTCCCCAAAAGAGGGTTTAGGGGAAAAAAAGTGGGGAGGGGGGAACCACCCCTCTTTGGGTCCCAAGATTCCATTGCAAATCACCCCTCAATTATTCGCCATCCACCCATACAAAGCAGTGCAGCACAGCAAAGGGTTTGTGCGGTGCCTTCCATCTGCACCCAGCGTCCTTGCTCACCCGCCTTACACCCCACTCTCCAAATATATTCACACAGATTCTGGGCTGGGAAACAACCTTTCCAGGCCCCCGAGGGCAGACTCAGGAACGAGATGCGACTTCAAGAGAACCTGCTTAGAACAGAAGGAAGAGGAGAGTCTTCCACTCTACCCAGGGTCTCAGCAGAAAAACAGAAGATTAGGCAATGTAGTATTATTTAAGACCAGGCTTGAATGCCCCTGAGTAAGAGAGGAACCAGGCATGCAGGCATCCCAGCTGGGAAGCTAACCCAGGGAAGATCCTCACTCCTCCCATTCACAGTTGCTAACCTTACTTCATCCCTTTCACCATCCTCCCTTTCACCAACTCCTGGGGGATCAGCCAAGAATCCCCCTCTACCTTGGCTAGGCCAATCCCCAAACCACTCCCCTAGGCAAACACTGGCTCACAAATTCAATAACAGCTTTTTCCAAAGGCACCTGGGGAGGCCACTTCCAAGCAGCTCCCTTTAAGATTTTTTTCTTTCTTTAAAAAAAAAAAAAAAACTTTTGGTTTTTTTCTCTTTTCTTAAAAAAAAAAAAATAAGGTATAAATAGCTCTTCATTTAAAAATACAGTTCCCCAGGTTGAGGTATACGGTGGTCTGTTGTCACGGCAGTATGAGAACAGTAGAGTGCCCGGGTAGGATGTCTCCTATTCAGCTGGAGACAGCCATCACGTAGTTCTTCGAGGGGCTGCTTCTGCCCAGCATCATTTGGTTCTTGCAAGTGAGGAGTCCATAGGAAGCAGCCACTGGAGCCTCCTCATACAGGACACAGATGGAACCGTCCTCCCCGATGCGGTAGGACACTTCATAGGGATCAACCCACAGGGTCAGCTCGCTGGGCAACAGCCGATGGAGCTGGGGCTGGCTGAGTCCAATCTGGCTGGCCACCTTGCTAATAATGGGGTCCATCTTGTGGTTGATGCGGATACAGCGATAGCCAGAGCCTTTGGATGGTTTCTCTGGAAACCAGTGGTGTTTGTAATGATCTGAGGAGGAAGGACAAGAGGGAGATGCTTTGGTTAGAAAGAACTGTCTCTGATGTTGGGGGGCGGGGGATGAGAGTAGAGGGCCGTGAAAAGAGGAAGAGCTCAGCGGCAGTATTTCAGAGCCTCCCCTTAAACTCCCCCTGCCACTTAGAAAGCTCCCTGGGCCCTCCCAGTGCGTGGACACTGGAAGGGAGCCCCAGAGCTTTCAGGTAGACGGTCTCCCTCCTGGTGGTCAGGGGTATTTTTGGCACAACCCAGCTTAAGGAAAAAAGGGCTAGTATGAACAGGCAGGGCCTCTGAGGGCCCAGACACTGAACTTTCAAAGCCCATTAAGCAACCAACATGGTTGGGTGTCCAGCAAGTCACCAGGGCCTCCCATCCCTCCCCCATCAGAGGAGTTATGAGATCTCTAGCAAAGGTAAGGGAATACAAATGGCTTTGTTTTGATGAAACAGCTGTTGGTCTTCAGATCTGTGCCAACGTGTTGAGAGATGGCTATCGCTGCCCAAGGCAACCGACCAACTGTAACAGCTGGGGGCAGAGGCGAAAGGGCTGCTTATCACTCTTAAACCTCCTTGCCTCACACCCTGTCCTGCCTCCATAACACGCCCCCCCCCCCAGCAGGCTAGGCTACTGGGCCCTTTTCTATATTACAATAGGTGGCAGATGGCGAAGAGGGACCAAAAGAAAAAAAAAAAAATACAAAGAGAGCCCAGATTACAACTTCAGCGGGTAAACAAGCGGCAGAATGGTCTGGCACAATGGCAGGCCCAGGACAACAGCGGCTAGGACTCGACTTGTCGAGAAAGTTCAATTGCGCATGAAGTCGCATAGCTTGACCTGGCTTGGTCCCACAGCATCCCCCAAGAATCCGGGCGGTGGGGGGGGGGAGGGAATCTCTCCACGATTCACAGAAAGAGGTGATTTCGGAACCTGAGCGCAGACACTGGCTTTTCCCGTGGAGTTGTTAGGGCCCCAGAATGTACTCAAGGAAGAGGGTCAGCGCCCCGGGAGCGAGGCGGGGACCGGAGGGCGGGGAGGCGGGGACCTAAGCCAAGGGACGGAGGACAGCAGGCGCCCTCGCAGATCTGAGCAAGGCATCCGACACCTGGCGCTGCTCGCGCAGAGGGTCTCCGCCCCAGGCGCGGTGGGGAGAGACACCCAGGCACGGAGGGGCGGCTGCCCGGGGGCTCTGGCACCCCGACTGTGCTCACCGGTCAGTGCGTCCTGGAGCGCCCTGCTGAACACCTTGAGCCTTTGCTCGCTCACGCAGCCCCGCGTCCTCAGGAGACTGGAAAGGAAGCCGACGGCGGCGGCGATCTCCGGGAGCATGTCGGTGGTTCTCTTCCCGTGGCTCATGCCAGGCGGCTGGGGAAGTCGCGCTGCAATAGCAAGACCGGGGTGCTGCGGCCGCCGCTCGCTCGGGCTCTGCCCGGACTTTCCTCCGGGCTGCGCCTTTCATACCGCTCGCGGGGGCGGGGAGCCGCAGGAGGCGCCCATTGGCCGAGGCTGGCGGGGGGGCGTGTTCTCAGGAGGCCCCGCCTCCCCCGCCCGCCCGCCCGCCCGCGCCCCCCTCCCGGGCGCTGAGGTCATCGCTCACTGACGTCAGTATTGGGAACCAGCGCCGGACTCCCGAGCGGTGGGAGGCGGGCGGGAGAGGGCCCGGGACCCGGGCGGAGGGAGCGCGCCACACCGGGCATGCCCGGACGTCGCCTCTGCACAGTGCCCAGGCCGCGGTTGCCCTGCCGCCTCCTCCAGGATGTCCTCGCCGATGCTACCACCTCTCCCACGCCAGGTCATCGCTGCCACTCTCTCCCAGCAGGTCCGAACCGGCTCCCCATGTTTTCGGCAATGGGGATTGTATTCTGTTTGCCTCCATAATAACTCCGCCTTACATAGCAAATTCTGCGCTTCCTCTTAAGCGACTGCCTAAAAGCAATCGGCTCTCACTGGTCGCGGTGGGAGGAATGGCGAGGAGAAGAGACATTTCTGTCCCTTGGGGTTATTTTTCCAGTTCTCACTTTCTTTTAAGTGGCTTTTTTTTTTTTTTTTTTTAAAGTAGTCTGGTGTGAACAGCACAAAGTTTTCCCATCGGGCCTCTGCTCCTCCGCCTTCCTTCCTCTTTGTGGAAGAAGGCTTTTGTAAACACTAACTCCCCAGAAGAAAGGCTTCTGCTCTGGCGTCGTCTACACTTAGGGGCTCAAGGACTGGTAGCAGGGAGCTAGGCAGACCACTGAGCGGGCAACTTATCACCCCCACCTCTGAGTCCAGCACAGGATCTGACCTGCAACGGGACCCTGTTTTTTAAATGAACTTAGCTCCGTGGCTTGTGTAAAATCCGGGGGTTCTGTTCTTTGTGGGTGTGAGTGTGTGTTTTGTTTTTGAGAAGCAGTGCCCCCAGGCATCTCTGTGCCCATTCCCACCCTGAGTCCCTCTTCCCTTTTATCTCCACTTTCTATCCGGAGCTGTCCCTTTTGCTATTTATTTTTCTTTGGTGGATTTTCACACCAGCCAGTACTTCCTTCCCTCCCTGTGGATGTCTAGCACCTCCCTCCCTGGTCCACCTTTCAGTCAAAGCTACTGATTACTAAACCTACCTCAGACCTAGTCCTGAGACTGATGGCTTCTTACCTAGTCCTGCCCCAAAGGACCTTCCCGCTGGAGTAGAGCCATTTCCCTGAGGACTCAGAACTTGAGTCAAGTCCTCTACTTGCTAGACTGTCTGGACTCACTTCCCTGGCACCTGAGACATTTCATCGTGTCCTGTCTTTGTAGGTTTCTACCACTTTCCTCTAAATGGCATGACAGCTCTGCCTCCTAGGTCCTGCAACATTTCCCATGATTCATAGGTCTATTACATGGTCCTTGCGTCATACATCCCTCGTCCAGGTGCACCTATCTACTACTTGGCCACCTGTGCATATTCCCCTGGATTTCTGAAGCGTCACCTTTAAAATACATGCTGATCATCCCCCCCAATGATAAATTGATGCTATCCATATAGTCACTTAACACGTCTCAAACTGGGAATCCTCCTGTCTCAGCCTCATAAGCAAGATTCTCCCCTGGCTCAATATTAGTGCACTAGTTACTTGGAAGCTGGCTACGGCATTTGTATGCCTCCCGATTACCCTTTCTGTTTCATGGGATGCATCAAAATGCATGGATTCTAGTGCTTTGCCAGTAAATGTAATCTTTAGAGAAGCTTCTTCACCTTTACTCCTTGGGGCCGGGGTTTGGATGGATGAGGTGGTTGCTTCTGCTTATTGGGGGCAGTTATTAGTTTTTAACAGGAAACCAGGCTGATCTCGGAAAAAGATAACCTAGAAGCATTGAACCAAAGAGGTCAGGTGTCACCAAGGCCAGAGCTGATCAAGACTAGCCACCAAGGAAGTCAGCAGAATAGGTCAAACCCCACGGGCCTGTGCTGACTCGCTAAGTGCCTGAGTATGAAGCTCTCCTAATCACCTTTCAGGGTCTTTGGCTTGGGCCTGGTGTTCTGACACCCTATAAGCACACTGATGAAGAAAGCGTTCTGCAAGCCAGATGTATCAGCTTTGTTTTTCTTTAGGAAGTCAAACTTGCCCCTCTGTAGATGTCCACATCTCCCAGCAGGCTATGCAGCGACCTCTCAGTAGAGCCAGGACAGGACAGAGCTTCCAGGTTACAGGTGTGGTGTTCTCTTCCTCCAGTTCTTAGGCTGCTGCGGCTGCTCTGGCCACAGGATCCACAGGGCAATCACTCTTGATGCCATAATTACAGATAAAGAGCCCAGATGTGAGGACAGGAACAGGAAGGTAAGACAGCCCTAACCCTGAAATCGATTCTAAGACTGGGTGTTGTAGCAAACACCTTTAATCAGGGTACTCAGAGAGGCAGAGGGCAGCCTGGTCTACCTACAAAGTTCCAGGCCAGCCAGAGCTACACAGAGACTGTGTTTCAAAATAGAAACAATTCTAGAAACTAAGTCCTGATTTATGGACGATGGTGCTGCATAGTGTTACGAAGGTGTGTTTCTGCAGAGACACCACAGTGATGGGAGATGTCATTCTGTAAATACATTTCTCTTAGCAATTAATGATTAAAGCACTGTTGGCCAATAGGGAAGCTGCCTCTTTTCCCATCTTCTCCTTCTAGGCCACTTTGCTGCTGCAGCATCCCCAAATAAGGATCTGGGTTCCAGAATTGTTTGTTTTGAAACAGTTTCACAGTGTAGCTCTGGCTGGCCTAGAACTCCTTACGTAGACCAGGCTGGCCTCTGCCTCTTTGAATACTGGAATTAAAGGTGTTTGCTATTATATCCAGCCTTAGGATTGATTAACACGTTACATTAGTCCTGATTTCATTTTAAATTTATTTAAACTGCCCTTAAGCTGATGTTAGTACCAGCTATGGTGGCACAAACCCTTTCAACCCCAGCACTGGGGAAGCAGAGGCAGGCAGATCTCTGTGAGTTCTAGGCCACCTAAGGGCTAAATAGTGAGATCTGGTCTCACTACATCGATGAAACAAGACAAAGGGGAAAGACCACCCAAGTTTATGAGAGCTTTTAGGTCATGTTGTCTCTGTCCTCGGAGTGTTTGGGGCATCGGGATAAGGACAGTGGCTCTCGCTCTCCTTGTTCTTTTCTCTCCTTCTACCTCCATCCATGGTTGGATGGTGAACGTAAGTGCTGACACACCACGGTGACCGTGACTCCACAGACAGTCACAGGTGCCTTGGTGATATGGTAGCTTCCGTCTACACTTTATCTGCACCAGAAACGTCAGTGCCATGTGACCCCAGACCTGCTTTTCCTCTGGCCCCTGTATCCATTTGTCTGGCCTACCTGTGTGGCCCCTTGGAGAATGACGTGGCATTCCAAACTGCCCTCCTTAGGCCAACCCAAGGACTGGGTTCTTCTGTCCTGGCCTCGTGTGTGTGGGGGGGTGGCATCACATAGACCTTGTTCTCTCTGCTTGCCCTTTAGGAGCCACTAGATAGTGGTGTGTACTTCTGTGGGGACCTTGGGGACTTGGCTTGGTTGTCAAGGTTACCTCTCAGTCCTGACCACACGTGGAAACCTGCGGCAAGTTCGGTGGCTCGGCTGTCAGAGGCCAGGCTGAGCTATTCTAGGAGAATGACTTCAGCTGCCTCCCACACGGTACTGTGTGTGATATTCTGTGAGTCTCCATGTGTATCAGTGTGGGTAGGAGGGCGGTGTGTATTTTTGAGTGAGCGTACGCACTGAAGTGTGTGCGTGAGCTGGAGTTGGTGGGACGAGGCAGTATGGAGTGGCTGTGTCCTGGCGTCTGGTGAAGCCTGCGTCCTGAGATGGACAGGCCTTGGGGTAGGGGTGGAGTTTGCCCGTGTGTAGCTGCAGAGGATGCTGCTAACTTGATATTTCCTCCTCCACCACCACCTGGCCGTGCTGCCCAGAGCTGATAAGGCCCATGGCCAGGGTGGGCCAGCCTCTCTCCACCCCTCCCTAAGCAGAACAGAAATACTGCTGGATCTTTTCACTGGCTTCCACTCTAGGACTTCCTGCCCACTTCTCACAACGCCAAACCCGAGGGCACCAGTCTTGACATTCAGAAACAGGAATTAGGAACACAAGAAAATATCCTTGTCACCAAAGCCCACTCACGAGGACACAGAACTGAGGATGTGAGCTATGTTTGAAATTTCAACCTCTTTCGACCCCCCACCCTGCCCCAGTGTGAACTAACAGCAGGACAGACAGACAGTTCTTCGTGGAGTGTTAGGGTGGGTTAGAGTGAGCAGAATGTTGAAGGACTACAGGAAGGCGAAGGGGAGCACAAACAAGGGAAGGGCTTTCTCCCTTGGGGGCTATAACATATTTTAAGCCCCAGAGAACCATGTTTGGCAACCTGTTGAGGGCTAGAGAAGAGTCTGGAAGCTAGAAAGTAACCCATTCTCTCATTTGTTCTGAAGACAGAAGCCAAGAAGGTCAACCCTGTGAGACAGCAAGCCAAAGTGAACCCGAGAGCAATTGACAGAAAATAGTTCTGCCCCCTGAATCTGAGGTGTGTGGGGTGTGACGGAAGTCAGTCCCCCCCCCCAGATGACAGCCAGCGTAGCTAATGCCAGGAGGTAGAGGGCACACTTGGAGGCACCGAGGGTTTAGGAAAAGTTGCTAGCTCAAGAAAACGGAGGGGCCAGGGAGTGGTGGGGATCAGACTGGAGGAGAGCATGTGTGCATGTTTGCGTAATAGGACGAGAGCATCTGCCCTTTAGACAGACCAGGGCTCCTGGGAGAAAAACCAGGATTGAGAGGGGAGACCCAGAGTGTTAGACTGGACAAGAAATAAACTCTCCAGTCCTCAGGCGGAGCGCAGTTGTAGAATGCTTGTCTAGCATGCAGAAAGCCCTAGGTGCATCCCCGGCACTGTGGAGGCATGGTAATAACCCGGTACGGTAATGTAT